CACCTGGGCCTCCTCTCTCTCTCCCTTCCTTCTTGCCTCATTGACGGCTTGATTTATTTTCTAATTCACCAATTTAGAACACATACCCTGGCCACAGCCATGCTTTCTGCATCTTGGATGGAATCAGACTGCCTGACGGGCTCCTGTTCTCAAGTTTGCAGTCTACATGACTGACTCACACTTTCCTCTCTCTCCCCAGCCCCAACTTATTAAGTAAACTTCCTGCCTCTATGCTTGGGCAGAGGCTGTGTATCAGGCAGTTCACTGTTTTACTCTACTTAGGCTCTTACAGAGCTTGGCATCCTTCCCCATTTTCGAGTTTGTGACCTATGTGCTTAACCCCTTCATTTCTCTATCCCTTTGTTTCAACATGACAGTTCTTTTTTTTTTTAACGTTTATTGATTTGGGGGGTGGGGAGGGGCAGAGAGGGAAGGAGAGAATCCCAAGCAGGCTCTGTGCCATCAGCACAGAGCCCGATGCGGGGGTCCATCTCACGAGCCATGAGGTCATGACCTGAGCCAAAATCAAGAGTTGGGCGCTTCGCCGACTGAGCCACCCAGGCGCCCCTCAGTATGGCACTTCTTGGTCCTGGAGAGGGTTTTAAAAGTTCAGAGTCAACCGGAAGATTTGTTGCCTCAGCCCCCTTCCGCCACAGCCCCTCATCCCCACCCCAGGCGCGTAGACCCACAGACAAAGTTCTGCGTAGAGTTGAGGAGCTCTCTAGCCCCTAAAGCTCATCCACTGACCCTTGATCAGAAATCTGTGCTCTTCTGACACCTTTGTGGCTCTTAGTCTCCTCTAGGATTTTCCTTCCTCAATAGTTTTGAAGGAGGAGGGGAGGGGGGAATTCAATTCACTTTTCTTGGCCCCTGTTTCAACACAAAAGCTAGGACCATCCACCCCCACTGTTTCTCTTCTTGCCTTGTCCGATGGATCCTTGAAAGTGCTTTGATGTAACACTCTTTCTCTTCTCTTTCCTCATCACCTCCTTCCTGAATGAGCCATACCTCTTGATTTGCACATGAGCTCGTGCCTTTGCTTCTTTTAAAAGCAATCCCCCATTTTTTTTTTTCCAATCACCCGTTTTACCTGCCTCCTAGGGCCGCTGTAGGATGAAAATGAAATCTAAGACGTGTAAAGACTTTACAATGTCAAGAGTACGGTAGCATTGTAAGGCATTATAACGGAGGTGATAATCCGTCTGTTCTTTGAGGCAGCTCGGTTGGCTCCTTCCTGTATGGCCTTTGGAAGCACAGCTTTGTCCTTGGTCCTTCCAACCCAAGACTCCCCTTCACTCCCAACCCAGGACTCCCCTTTCCACCCTAACACACAGGCATCTTCTCTGGTCTTTCACTTGACTCTAGCACGATCTTGCTCTGAAGGTGTCCTCCTCTGTTCAGTTACATGGCTTTACCAAATACTTCGGTTATTTCCGTGTTGTGGTCAGGAAGAAGCCGTATCTACCACCTCTGCCTCCCGCGGCTTCCTGTTTCTCTTTCCAACATGCTGGTCAGAACTGTGAGCTTGCTTAGATTTGTTCAAGCCTGCTCCCCAGTGTGTTCAAAGAAACGGTTTCCAGTTTGGTGTTTCTGTCGCCAGATTATCCACACGTAGCGTGCAGCCTCTCCCTCTCATTGGCCCTGTTCTCGTTTCTTTAACAGTCCACCGGGACTCGGGCAGGTTGAAGCACGTACAGTTTTAGCAAACAGCTTCAAGATTGGCAAAATATTCACTTTGGGGTTGAGAGAGACTCTTTTGCTCGTGTTCCAGGGAGCAGGGGCGTGAGTAGGCAGACAAAGGTTGATGATCTAAGAAGAGATGGGATTTAGGGAGCAGAAGAAGGCACCTCTCCCACGGAGATGGGAGCGTGCAGGGATGCGGCTAAAATGGCAGGAAATTGAAGGAGTCCCTGACACGTGGCATGTGTTTTCCCTGGAAAGCAGAGAGTGACACAAACTAAGCAGAGTGGAACCTCCTAGGAATTTTAAAGGAAGTAGGGAATGCGCAACGCAGCCAATTCCTGGGCGCGTGGCAAGATTGCCAAATGGCAGCGGGGGTGAGAGTCACGAAGTTGGGGTGCCCCTCGTTCACCAAATGTATTCCCTTTCCCTCTGGTTAATTCATCCGGGATTGAGAATTTGGCGAAAGTTGGGTGACGCAGGAAGTAGAAGGGGAAGCAGAGTTGAGGATTTTGTAAGGTCTTCGTTCCAAGTAAGGATTATTGAGTCCATATTAAAATAAGAGAGAGCATGGGGCTCCTGGGTGGCTCAGTCGGTTAAGCGTCCGACTTCGGCTCAGGTCATGATCTCACGATTTGTGGGTTCGAGCCCCGCGCCGGGCTCTGTGCTGACAGCTCGGAGCCTGGAGCCCGCTTCGGATTCTGTATCTCCCTCTTTCTCTCTGCCCCTCCCCCCCCCCTCAGAAATGAATAAACATTAAAAAAAATAAGAAGAAGGAAGTAATTGTGAAGATTAGGAAAAAAAAAAAGAGGAGCCAATGGACTGGACATTTCGCTGAAGTAGAATAACAGGTGACAAGGGAGTAACAGGGAACAGCCAAGAAAGTAGGAAGTGATGGGAGTAGACGTGAGCGAAGAATGTTTCGGACGCGGGACAGTCTTCTGGGACAGTGACGTCCTGGGTGCAGCCACAGGGGGTGTGTAACAGAACCGGAATGGAGTCAGGATCTTTGAAGATGAGGAAGCCTGAGGCTGGATGTTGGCTCAGTCATCTGTAGCGACACTGAGGTTTACTGGGATGGTGATGACAATTCCAAAGCCCCCGATAAAGGCAAATCTCACTGGGAAGTTGGCGGAGGGCAGAGAACATAGAAGTTAGTAGACAATATAGGCAGATGGCGTATGCTTTAAAAGGAAAAGGAGTTTTTTAACTTTTTTTTTTTTAACATTTATTCATTTGGGGGAGTGAGAGAGACAGAGCATGAGCAGGAGAGGGGCAGAGAGGGGGGAGACACGGAACCCAAAGCAGGCTGCAGGCTCCGAGCCGTCAGCACAGAGCCCGACCCGGGGCTCGAACTCACTGAATGCGAGATCATGACCTGAGCCGAAGTCAGACGCTCAACCGACTGAGCCCCCCAGGCGCCCCGGAAAAGGGGTTTTTAATATGAGGATGGGAAGAAATAGCCTGACAGGAACAAGAGTGGGCTAGAAAAACATTCCCCTTCCTCCCAGCCCCACGGATCTGGGGAGCCCAAGAGAGGGCCACAGAAGGTGCCAAGGTCCTCAGGGACGGGAGGTCAAAGAAGCACCCTGCAAAGATGGGACACCATTCTGGGTGACACTGCCCCACGGAGAATAGGAAGGGAGATCAGAAAAGGAAAGAGGAGTTAAAGGTAGTGGGGGGCTGGGGGCGGGGGAGCCTCGGTGAAAACAGTATGAAGGTGGAAATCCCAGAGAACGTGACTGTGGAAGGAGAGGGGGGCTTGCTGATGCCCCGAGAGGGTGTCTGGAGAGCCCCACGGTCGCAGATGGAGGGGCCCTGCAAGGTTGCCCCAGCATCTCACAGCACCAGCCGGTGCCACAGTCATCCTGGCTGCGAGCGTCCAATCCTTGTAAATCTCGTCGGCATCTCCCCATCGGCCTCGCCGGATTCACGGGAGCTGATCCGGGCCGGACCACGCTGGACTTTGCCCGCGACAGCCTGCGCGGCCCCGTGAAGCGCCCCTCTTCCCCTACCTCTCGCTAACAAAGAAAAGAGACAGCCTCCTTTGTGAGACGGGACGTCTCAGAGGTGATCCAATAATCCCGGCGCCTTGTAGCCCGGTATTTTCTCTGGAATAAGTTGTTTCTAGTGCTGGTCCGAAAGCTGACATGTGTTCTTTCGCCAGCCAGGATTTATAGCGTTTAATAAGGGTGTTTCTTGGGTCCATCTCGACTGAATCTATCATAACGGGTCCTCACTGCAAAAAAAAAAAAAAAAAAAAAACTAACAACCTCCTGTTTTTTTTTTTTTTTTTTTTTTTTGTATGTTAAAGAAATATCCTGCGCTGACCATTTTCTTTAAGTGTTCTTGCACACGTAGAGGAATGCATCTTCGATTTCAGTTGCCCTGAAATGAAATGTTTAAGGACGTGTGCTTATCCTTTTCCTCTTTTAAATTCCTTCTCTTGTCTCTCACGTGCTCTATCTTCCTAGAAAGAAATTCCTTCACTCTTAGGACCCTTTGTCTAAAGAATCTTATGTAATTGTTCTAAACGTCGTGGGTGTTGGGCTCACGGGGCGGACAGCCAGGCAGAATCGGGCCGGCCTCCCTACCAAGGTTAATGTCTTTGTGTGAGGGTTTTCCTGGACTCACAGCCAGGGCGGTGATTGTGACATTTACGTTGGTACATGGCAGGTCCCTTGCCCCACTCCCGATACCGGCCGCCCTTCTCCGGGCGCAGAACATTTCCACCTGCACAGCCAAGCCCTTGCCTTGTGCTTCTCTGCTCTCAGACGTGATCACCTCTCTCGTGACGAGATCAAACGTGTCTACGTGCTGGGAAAAACGGGAGGAGGCTCTTATGGGGTAAAGTACAGGAAGCCCGAACTACCTGGGTCCTGCCCCTACTGGCCACGCCTCCCAGTAGATTTCGGGGGAGAATATATTCAGAGGTCCAAGCAAGTCAGAAGGGGCCACACCCACCCGCTGGCTGCCCTGGGAGCCCGTTCACCCTCTAGGGTAGCGGACCAACGCCTGGTCTCCAGATGAAAGCTGCCAGGAAGATCACCAACATTGCTGTCCATCCTGGGGGGGGTTGTGTGAGGGGGGAGCATTGAAGTCTAGCCGGGTGCTTCCTTCTGTTTGGGGACGGAAAGCAGGCAGATGTACCCTCCGTCCCCGAACGGAGGGTAGGAAGAGGGTTAGCATAGGAGGCTCGAGGCTCAAACACGCCTGTGTTGGGGGAGTGACCGGGAGACAGGCGAATGTTCCTTGTGGACCTATGACAACACAGATCCTGGGCCCAAGAGATTCTAAGGACAGCTCTATACCCCTTCCAGGTAAAAAGCTCGGCTACACCTTCAACAACCGGAACTTTCACAACGTGTCTTTGGGGCAAGGACAGGAGGTAGTGGCTGAGGCTGCTCTGGACCTGGCTGCCAAGAAAGGTCACTGGGTTATTTTGCAGGTACGACCCCTCTGCCCCGATGGGGGTCATTCTTGACCCCATAGCTGCCTGGACCTGACAGTCTCTGGGCTCCTCTGACCTTGCCGCCCCTCTCCCCTGCCTTTCCTTCCACACCCTTGCCCGTCTCGCTGCCCGATCTTGTCTCCTTCCCTCTTATGTGGTCCTGCTCTCCCCACCCCTCTCCATAACTCCTTGTCCCTCGCCCCTCAAACCCCCTGCCACTCTCTCTAGTTTAATGTTTCTTAATGTTTGTTTATTTTTGAGAGAGAGAGAGAGAGAGAGAGAGAGAGAGAGAGAAAGAGAGCACGAGCAGGGGAGGGGCAGAGAGAGGGCGAGACACAGAATCCAAAGCAGGCTCCAGGCTCCAAACCATCAGCACAGAGCCAGATGCGGGGCTCAAACCCACGGACCGTGAGATCATGACCTGAGCCGAAGTCGGACTCTTAACCGACTGAGCCACCCAGGCGCCCCTACTCTCTCTAGTTTAAATAGTTCCACCCACATCCTGTTTGGTGCCTGCTCAGGGAGTAGGTATCCAGTTGAGTCCATGGAAGCCGGATCGTGTTCACCCGGTGATCCCTTCCCACGCGTATCAGGAAGACGCGAAGCGGCCCCTCTCCTGTGGCCGCCTGTCCCCTTACCTCTGTTTTATGCAACTTGCAGGGGGAGCTGGGGCCGGGGCGAAACAAGTGGCTCAGTTCCCTTTTCTCCCAAACGGACTACAGCCGCCTCTGCTAGAGCGCCGTGGCTGTGGCACAGGCACTTATGTCACGACCATGTCCTTCACCACATTCCCTTTAGGAGAGATCCCCTCCTCCATCACCTTTCTGCACCCAGCACACCCCCGCGAACATAGTAGACACCCAGCAAAAGCCCGTTGGGCGGGAGAATCAACGAAGAAATCAATGCGAGGAAAAATAAAACAAGAAAGGTTCCCCCCCCGCCCCCGCCCCGCCTGGCCAACAGAGCCCCGCCTTTCCAGGCGGCCCGCTGAAGTCTTAGCTCCGACAGAGTGATTATAAATGAATTCTCTAACAAATTTTCACTTCACCAGCCCTTCCAAATCCATTGCCTTTGCCTTCAGTTATTTGCAGCAACTCTGCGAAATAAGGATGGCCGATGTTACTTCCCCCTTTTATAGAAGAGAAAGCGGCACTCAGAGGTCAGATTGCTGCGGCCGAGTCCTGTGCTCAGTGCTAATCTGTGTATTTAAGGCTCTGCGAGCAGGCTTCCTCAAATATTTACCGAGGCGCCTTTATCTGCCCATCACAATGAAACATTGCAACAAAGCCAAGCGGCTATCCTTTCCGGAGCGAAAGGTGCATTCTGCAGAGAAGCCCTAAGAAGTAACTGTGGGCTTAGACCAGACAGACAGATGGCAATCACAAGGTGGGGGGGGGGGGGGGCGGCAGGGAGAAGGCCTCCAAGACCAGACACAGGAGCTTGCTCTTGGAGCAGGAAGCCTTCCAGTATGTGAGCCGAAATGCCCCCGTGTGTTTTAGGAAGATAAGTTGGGCCACACTGAGCAGAATGGTTTGCAGAGAGGGCGAGGGGACGCCAGAAAGCTAGCCACGAGAAGTTGACATCAGTGCTTTTCAAATTGTAACACGCTCACAAGTCACCGCAGGATCGTATTAAAATGCGCCGATTCAGGAAGTCTGGGTGGGGCCAAAGAGTCTGCGTTCCCACCTAGCCCCCAGGTAATGCCAACTTTGCTGGTCCACGGGCCCCGCTTTTGTGTAGCAAGGGTCCAAGTAAGGCAGGTGTCAGATGTGGTGATCTGGATTTGGAGCGTGTGGACCGTGTGTGTGACTCTTCAAGCGTGGCCCGGGGACCAACATCTTCAGCATCACCCGGAACTTGTTAGAAGTGCAAATTCTCAGGCCCCACCCTAGACCCCCTGGATCAGATACTCGGGGCTGGAGCCCAAGAATCTTTGTTTTAAGAAGCCCCTCCGGGGGGCGCCTGGGTGGCTCAGTCGGTTGAGCGTCCGACTTCAGCTCAGGTCACGATCTCGCGGTCCGTGAGTTCGAGCCCCGTGTCGGGCTCTGTGCTGATAGCTCAGAGCCTGAAGCCTGTTTCAGATTCTGTGTCTCCCTCTCTCTGACCCTCCCCTGTTCATGCCTTGTCTCTCCCTGTCTCAAAAATAAATAAAACGTTTAAAAAAAAATGAAAAAAGAAAAAAGAAGCCCTCTGGGGAGATGGGGGTGGGGGACGGATTCCTATGCATAGTCCAGTTTGACAACAATGTGCCAAGGAGACTTGGGATATCAAGAGATAGGTTTCAGCTGCAAGATACTGGCAGGTCTCATTGCTGGGAACCCCAAGATTCCTGCTGCAGTGAGCTGTATTTGATGGCCAGGTCCCTCCTCTAGCTGCCTTCCAGAAACTGTTTGCTGCTGACAAAACTAAGCAAATGCCTGCATGGGGGTGGGGGGTGGTTGGGATCTTTCCTTCCCAGTAGAACATCCACCTGGTGGCCAAGTGGCTGAGCACCCTGGAGAAGAAGCTGGAGGAACACAGTGAGAACAGCCACCCAGAGTTCAGGGTCTTCATCAGTGCGGAGCCAGCACCCTCCCCTGAGGGCCACATCATCCCCCAGGGCATCCTGGAAAACTCCATCAAGATCACCAACGAGCCTCCCACAGGCATGCACACCAACCTACACAAGGCCCTGGACAATTTCACTCAGGTACAGCCCCGGGGAGGGAGGGGAGAAGAGCGCCCCCCCCCCCCAAAGAGCTGATTCAACTGGGTTAGAAGAGCATGCACCTGTCGGGGCGGAGGGGGCATGGCGAGGGGGTGACTGGGCTCAGAGCAGTGCCATGTGGGCGAAACGTATTCCCTTTGTGACCGGCCTCCTCCCAGCGCCCACCGAGTGCAACCCAACTCTCAGTTCCCAGATATGCCTGGGGGAGCTGAGCTTAGGGTGGGCTTTCTTCGGCGAGAGGCACGGGGGAGCTCTCTGCAAGCCTCTGTGCCACCTAAATATCCCAAGGTGGAGAGGGGCCACGTTGCTAGAAATCTGAAGTCACACACCGGTCGCACGCTGTCTTCAAGCAGGGGGTCGACACTCGTGTTCACGCGGTGACAGTTGACATCTACGTGCATCTCGAATGTCGAGGGTCCAGGGAATCCAGGTGTCAGATGTGGGGATCGTAATCATATGTTAGGCTCTTGACGCGTGGCCCCCAGGGCAGCAGAAGCGCCCGGGAACTTGGTAGAAATGCCAGTTTTCAGGTCCTACCCTAGACCTGCTGAATCAGAAACTCTGGGGTGGGGCCCAGGAATCTGTGTTCTAACAAGCCCTCCAGAAGATCCCAATGTACAGGCCACTCTGGGGACACTGTGCTACAATGGAACTGGGAATAAATAGCAGGGCATCGGGCTCAGATGTAGGTACTGGAAGGCCCATTACTGGGAATCCAAGACTAGTGTTGTGGGGCGTGTATTGAAAGCCAACAATAGGGTGGTGGGTAACTCAGTCCATGTGTGAAGTCGCACTTGCAAAGTCCGTAGTTCAGGCTTTTTGCATCTTCTCCGGAAGGCAGGCTGTCTGGTAGCTTCTTCCTCAGGGATTTGCGCCATCCTGGGGAGGGGAATACACGAAGGTGTGAAGGCCGGGAGGTTGGGGGCCACCTTAAAATCCATCTGCCACACTGGGCCTCAGTGGAGTCCAAGGGGAGGGTTCCAGGATCTGTCCTCTCCGATGATCCTCTTTGTATCTCTGGCTTCGCAGAGCCCCTGCTCTAACTCGACACAAGTCCCCGATGGGTCATCTAGGAAGCCTGAAACGGGCCGTCCCACAGGACACCTGTTGTCACCAACCCAACATAAACCACCAGGACTAAGGGCGCTTTGGGGCCTGGTTTCACTTAGACTAACATGAAGGGGTTTGGGTTTTATTTTTCTCTTTTAAATTTTTATTCATTTGTTAATTTTGAGAGTCGGGTGAGAAGAGGCAGGGAGAGAGAGAGTCCAAGGAGGCTCTACACCGTCAGCACAGAGCCCGACACGAGGCTCGAACTCACAAACTATGAGATCATGACCTGAGCTGAAGTCGGACACTCAACTGACTGAGCCACCCAGGGCCCCTAATGTGAAGGGTTTTTTGTTGTTTTCTTTTTTTACTGAGTGCATGATACCCCTTGTAGTGTGGGGATCAAGCAGTCCCACCTGGAGAGGAAAGAAAACTCCCACTTGGAGAGGAAAGAGAAGGAGAAGCAAAACTTTTCCAGCCCTCTTTTTCACTCCCTTCCCATCCGAACCCCCAGACCCACTCATAATCCAGAACCGGGAATGGGGAAACACGGCCAGGAGATTCAGGCTGTTTTCGTTAAGAAACACCTGCCCGTTGCAACATGAAGCAGCAAGTAGGGTAAAATAAATTAAAATAAAAATAAAAATAAAATAAAATAAAATAAAAATAAAATAAATAAAATAAAACAAAACAATACATTTTTCTTCCTAAATAGGCCTTGACTAATCCCCTAGGTACTCTGTACCAGAGGTCAGAACTTCTAAATTTTCTACATCTTATATTCCACATAAGGGAAATCTACATTCTCGGCTTTGAAATCGATAGCCTTCTTTCCCCGGAAGGCGGGAGCTCGTTCCAAGCAAAACCACTTCTGCCCAGAAAAGGCACTGGGTTGCCCAACAGGGTGAACATACGCAATGCCACGGAGCTATGTTCGCTTCAAAATGGTGCAGATGACAGATTCTATGGTGTGTATTCCACCAGGAATTTTTTTTTTTTTTTAATTAACAATTGAAAAGAAAAAGGCATTGGGATGCGGTTAGTTAGCAAGCTCCGGCTAAGGGCACAGTCACAGACTACTCTCAGCAATTTTGCCTTGAGGGTCTTGGGCAGATCCGGGGAGAAGGGCCATAGTTGCCTCAGGTACCAAATCTCCTAATGATTTATTATACAAGATTATCCCTCTGTAGGGTTATTATCCTATATTCATTGCGTGGCTTCATCTTGTCAGACTACCCACGGACCCTTGTCCTTGGGTCTCTCTCCCTGCCAAACCCCTGTCCAGCCTTGGTTATGAGGCCACTGGGAAATAAATCCCAAGGGTGCTGGCTTTCCCTGACTATTCTGTCCCCACCACCGTTGGGTCTTTGGCCATTGAGAGCGATCTTCAGTGACTTATTCTGAGAAACAGAGACAGACTTACGGGTATATCCATTGCTCGCAAGGGTTTTAATTGTTCCATTCTGCTTTTATGGGTGCCCTGGAACCAAGGCCCCCATGAACACCCCCTATAATTCAGAGCCCTGTTTTAACCATTTAAGGGACAAACTGCAGGACGGAGCTCTTTTTACTGCTGATCGGGGACGGTTATTTTATTCTGATGTCGTCAGGTTTACGGTGAAGGGCGCAGCACTCCTCTGTTTCTCTCGTGTCCCGTCCCTCCCTCAGCAGCAACCTCAGCCACACAAGCAGCAATTACACCTATGACAGTCCCACAAGGGGCAAGCAAGGCGTAGCAAGTGGGGCACCTGGCCGGCTCAGTCGGTAGAGCCTATGACTCGAGATCTCGGGGTCATGAGTTCAAGCCCCATGTTGGGTACAGACATTTATTATTTATTTATATATTATTTATTTATTTATTTATTAAATAAATAAATAAAACCTTAAAAAAAAAATAAAAAGGAAAGAAAAGCATGGCAGGAAGGGGAGAAATCAGAGATGATGCTGTAGGAGTCCCCACGCACACCCCAGCACAAAGTGATACTCCTAAGACCAACGCAACTCTCAGGACCCACTACCCTGTTTCCCACTAGCTGTGCTTGGCATGTCCACGGGGGCCAACATTAACTGTAAAGCAAGCCCTGTGATCACCTGAACCTAAATCTTAACTCAGATTCTAATCTAGAACCCAGCCCCTCTGCAAGGTCCCCTCAAACCCTGAGCCCACGCTGACCCACAGCGAGACCTACATTCCTACTGTGGCTCCAAAACCTAACCAGGACGTATGGTGACCTCGTCCAGCGTGAGTTCCGGCCGCCATAACCCACACCCTGCTCTGCGCTGCACAACGGCAGGTCTTTGCTAACACTGGAGGCAACGCTTTCCTTTCAGGACACGCTGGAGATGTGCTCCCGGGAGACGGAGTTTAAGAGCATCCTCTTTGCTCTTTGTTACTTTCACGGGGTGGTGGCGGAGAGACGAAAGTTTGGGCCGCAGGGATGGAACTGCCCTTACCCCTTCAACACTGGGGACCTCACCATCTCTGTGAACGTGCTGTACAACTTCCTGGAGGCCAACGCAAAGGTAAAGTTCCCGGCCAGCACGGGGGGAGGCAGGGAGGGCCATATCTCAGAAGGATGATGTCGCATCGGCACAGGGTAAAGGGGGCACACACTGGGGACCATCTAGACCCTCTCCAAGTAGAGGGGGGAAGGACCAGCCCGGGGCCAGTGGGAGGCCAAAAAGAGCACCACGGGATGTCAGGGCCAGGAAAGCTCAGGAGACCAAACTGGTGACTCACGCCTGGTGTGATTCTTTGTCCCAGGGCCCACCAGACCACCCCTGTGCGCCTGCGGCATTGTGGGGTGCTGTGGATTGGCAGAAGAGACCCCATGCTCACCTGATACAAGTTCCCAGTTTAATCAGCCAAAGACACCATTTAAGGGAATGTGTAGACCATGAAGGCTCTTCTAGTTAGCAGGCCAAACATAGGATCAGCAAAGGCCACCTCCCCTTCCTGGTGGGGCACATGAATCAGGCCCAGAAGCCCTAAGCTACTCCTCTGCCCCCAGCTCCATGGCCCTTGCCCCCATAGCACGGCCTCTTCATTTCCTGCGCTGAGACATGGCTTTCCCCAAGTGGTTTCCCGCCTGACTCCAATATCGTGACTTTCGTGCTCTATTTCATTCACTTTGAACTTTGAAAGGAGACCATAAATTAATGCACTAAGTAATGGCAGGAAATTAGACAGACAAGTATCCTGGTTCTTCCTTTATTCCATTTGACATTTACTTATTTAAAGGACTTGTAGGTAAAGCCTGACTTGATTGCCACAGTTAATGACCGTGGAAGAGGGTTGGCATATATGCAAGGGGGCTGGCACCTTGCCTCTCCTCACCCTTGGCTGTAACATCTCAAGCATTTCGTGAGCTCCCAGGCGTGCCTGACTCTTCGGGGCACTAGGGATATGCAGGCGAAGAAAGCGTTGCTTCTAATTTGAGAGGCATCCCATCTTGCGGCTGACACTCTGTCCACGCGTCAGGGCAGCCCCGATGTCTGTGTGGAGGTCTTTCTTCCCTGTGTCTCAGGTCCCCTATGATGATCTGCGCTACCTCTTTGGAGAGATCATGTATGGAGGCCACATCACAGACGACTGGGACCGGAGGCTCTGCAGGACCTATCTGGAGGAATTCATCAGACCGGAAATGCTAGAAGGAGAGCTGTGCCTGGCACCCGGGTTCCCACTCCCGGGCAACTTGGACTATGCTGGTTACCATCAGGTAAGGCTCTGCTCATACAGGACCTGGGCCTTCCTTCAATTCTGTTCTGCAGGACCAGGATGCACACACAGGGCCAGGGAGGAATGGCCTAAAGAACAGAGCTCAGGGGCCCCCGGGTGGCTCAGTCGGTTGAGCATCCAACTTCAGCTCAGGTCATGATCTCGAGGTTCGTGGGTTCGAGCCTCCCGTCAGGCTCCGTGCTGACAGCTCAGAGCCCAGAGCCTGCTTCGGATTCTGTGTCTCCCTCTCTGTCTGCCCCCTACCCCTGCTCGCGCTCTGTCTCTCTGTCCTTCAAAAAAAATAAACACACGTGGGAAAAAATGGTTTTTTTAATACAAAAATAAAGAACGGAGCTCATATGGAGTTCGATTCTCAGCCCCAGGTTTGCCCTGTTCGGTTTGAGAGCTGTTGGGTGCCTCGCCTCAAATTAGTGATAACAATTGAGCTTTTGGAGATCTTTCTATTCTTGATGCTTGGTTCAATAATTCTATTTGTCGCTCTTTTTCTACAAATAACATCTGGGGCTTTCATTAGATTGCTTTCATCCAAGATATTGACAAAGCCATTAGGAAGAAAATTCCAGGTTCAGAATTTAGCCAACTTTGGGTAAAGTTTATATTAGTGATTCTAGGTATCTTCAGAGGGACAGGAGCTTGTGGGCAGATCACTTAGCCCCGCTGTTCTCTGAGGGCTGCTGTGAACACAGACACACACACCCATGTGCACACACACATTCCCAGAGAGCTCTTCTGACTTCTCATTTCACTGTGGCCACAGCTATTTTTAAAGTGCCCATCTTTGCCCATTTAGGCTGCCACGGGAGATAGATTAGAAGATAATTTTTTTAAAAAATCTTTTTGCCGCTTGACTTTGAACATGCCTAAAATAACTTTGAATACCAAACTTAAAGGAAATACCGGTCATCAAGACATTAACGACAAACTTAAAAAAAAA